ATTCATTTGTGTCCACTGCTGGAAGTCATGACAGGCCCGACACGGCTGTGCACTGCGACCGCCCGTCCCATACACGTCATTGTCGTTGTGTCTCATTTGGAGCACTTGTGGCCACAGTTTGCCATCACTTAAGCCCAGAAACGACAACATTTGCGGCACTTATGCAATGGACAGCTGCTGTTGCCTAACAGTGTGTCCAGTGGTCACACCAGATGGCAGTGACAGACACGCCCACCACTCATGCAATCGTACAGTGAATGCCTGTATTGACTGCATATGACTGTTGAACACTGTATTGACTGGTATTTACATGAGTCTAACGCTGAGTCCAATGGTGACTATTGACGCCATATTTACACATTGATTGTGATCGCAGTGATTGGAGTGGATATTAGCAGTGATTTGTTGGTCACCGACACCACTGATGGTCAGCGATGACCACAACCGCTGGTCCGCTCACACGCCCTTCCCTTCGCCTAAGCAATCACTCAACACATCCATTGTCTCTCTACTGACAGCTTATGTTTGCCACAGTATTCACAGTCAACACATTCATCACATGGTGAGCTCACATCTTAATTGTATCATGGTCAGTCACACTTTACCATCACTGTGCTCCACCATCTACATATAAGCATTGTCACTCTATTAGTGCTAATTAGCCGTAGCTCTCAGGTGTACGATTAATGAGTGGTATGTGCTTGCTCATTCGGGACACTATGACAGCTCCTATTGATTTGATGTATGCTTTCGATGAACTCTTAATGATTGTTAAGATTTAGTCATTTAACACATTTTCATATATGCTATACATTTTGGTGTCATATCGGAGCACATAATTAATTTGAATAACAATAAACATAATCTAGATCTATTACTGTATGTCAGTGAATAATTGTTTTTATCAGTCCATTGCTATCGAGTTAAATAAGTAAATAAAGTTAATATGATAATTAGATAACTGTTGTATTTGTTTGCAAACAAAACAAAATATTATTAAAATATTGATATAGTTTTGGTGTTAAAATGCAATCCAATTGAATATATGAGACAAGGATTTCATGAAATATAGAGGGATTAAAGAGCAATATATGGCAAATAGCCTTCAATTGAATCCATGGCTTGACCTGAAAGTCCAAATTATAGCTCAAAGACAATCCGTTAGTCCTTTCAGTCTTTCAGTGATACCTTCTTCGAGTTATTTGACATTATTTTCAATTTATTCAACACTAGTATTAGTTTCTTATTTTTTATCTCATCCCTCAGTGACAATACAATTGTTTAAANAAATAATTGAAATTATGTTTAATATTATTTGAATGAAATTTTTAAAACTCCTTTCATGAAATATAAACTTATATTTATTTATTAACTTATTTTTAGGAATCGATTATTTTTGAAAATATAAAATCATAAGCGAAAAGCAATTATCCAAACGATGTATGAGAGCATAGGATCTGCTTTTATGCCAATTATTTGTCCAGCTTTTGATTCCGACCGATACGACCATTTCGAGGGCATTATTTGAATACCAAATATGCCTTTCCTATTGATTGGACACAAGAATCACAAGAATTTTAAATAATATGTATTTTATTATGAACTAAAACAACACAATCAGAAAACTGGCGAATAATTTCGACAAATCTTCAAACGAGTCGTCTTATTGGACGTTAAGGATGGCTCGAAAGACTGAGTCGAGTCACCAGAAGTGCTTCAATATAGCAGTTGTGGGCCTATCGGGCACTGAGAAGGAGAAGGGATGTCTGGGTGTGGGGAAGTCATGCCTCTGCAACCGCTTCATCAGACCCCTCGCGGACGACTACAACGTGGACCACATCTCAGTGCTGAGTCAGACTGACTTCAGCGGTCGCATCATAAACAACGAGCATTGGCTCTATTGGGGGGAGACCTGCAAGACATCGGATGAGGGCTTCGAGTTGGCCTTCAGTGTCATCGAGCAGACGGAGTTCATAGACGACGCCTGTTTTCAGCCCTTCAAGAGTGGTAAAACGGAGCCTTACTATAAACGGTGCGCCTCCACACGCCTGTCCTCAGCCGAGAAGATGATGTATATCTGCAAAAATCAATTGGGAATCGAGAAGGAGTACGAACAGAGGTATCTAAACGACGGCCGCTTCTCCATCGACGGCTTCGTCTGCACCTTCGATGTGAGTCAAGTTCAGGGCCGAGCCATCGAACGACAGGTCGAGTTGACGGCACTTATACTCAATGGTCTGATTAAGACAAAGAAGCCCATAGTGTTGGCCACCACTAAACACGACGAGGTGTACGACTATTACGTAAAAGAGGCCGAAAGGCTGCTTAACAGACGGGAATACAAGGGAAGCATTCCTTTGGTGGAGACGTCGGCCCACGAGAACGTGAACGTCGACCTGGCGTTCATCGCTTGCGCCCAACTCATCGACAAATCTAAAGGCAAATCAAAGATCGTGTCTTTCCTGGAGTCGTCGCGCAATCGAAAGGATGCGTTGGACAACGCCAACGACGCCTACCTATCGCTCATTCAGTCACAAATCACTGATTACAGGACTCTGTGGAACAGCACTTATAAAAAGTTTTCCCAAAGTCAGGACTTTTTAAATTATTGTCAACTCTTCGGTCAGGACTCAGCGCACCTGACGTTTAAGCGTCACATCAAGAAACTAAAAGATGACTACTTGTGCCGTAAAATGCAAATGTATTTAAGAGTTTTACCGGAAGTACTTACAGAACTGATGCCAGATCTCGAGACCATCGGTGAGATCAGTGATTGGATTACGATTAAGGATAGGCTTCGATCTCATCCAGACTTTGACCAATACTTTATCGACAATCCGGACATTTCGTGGCATGAGGTCGACTTCGAAGACGGGTCCGAAACACGAATTCCATTCGATTTGTTGGACACTCCAGAAGCAGAACAGGTGTTCGTTGAGTACCGAATGAGTCTCGAAAGCGGTGAACGACAGAAGGAATTGAGGCATCAATTCAGACAACTATTACAAGAGACCTGTTATGTGACGCCCGGGAAGTCTTTAACCGAAGTTCGCGTCCTGTTTATGGGTCGCGAATGCTATGAATCTCTGAGCGAACGGGACGTGATTGAGATGTACGAAGAGCACCAGAAAGATATTACAGACGGCGCTAAAATACATTTCCAAGAGTTACTATTAGAGCACTCGAGTCTATTCTATCACTTCGCGAGCTTAGGTCCCGGAAGTGTCATCACTCAAGACGACATTCAAAAGATTACAGAAGCTCTTCAAGAGGACCCGAGGTATGACTTAATGGTGACATTTGTGACATTTTCTTACCATTGTTTACAATATTTTTAGATACAAAGCATTAGACCGTTTAGATCAGGACAGGACTCTTATGCTTCTGAGACACCTGGGCTTCATTCACGGCCCCATTCGAGAACACTGTCCTGTATTTCCTAACTGTGCGGATGTTTTAATTGAGAAATACAACGCTTCCAAAGCCAGAAGGTATGAGCGATTGATTCATATACTAAATGGTCTATTATTTTACTTCACTCGCAATTATGATCGCACTTCACAGTAATTAATGATACGAAACAAACGACTCATTAAATATGTATACCGTATTAAATGTAATGTCTTTCCCACTCGTGTAGGCCCTCAACCGGAACTAGAAATAGTCACTGGTTTTCGGAATCGAATAACAATCACTTAAATCTAATCCTTTTGGGTTCAGGAGGTCTGAGTGATGAGCTCTGCTCTGAAATTAAGGTAATTAACGATTTTGTTGATACTTTTGTCGAACAGTATTGATATGTTTGGTGTTTAGGAAATCAATGAGTCGTTTGAGTTGGAGAAGACGCGCTTCACTTTGGACTTCAGGATAATCGGCGGAGATGTAGATCTGCCACAAAATGCCTTCCGAACCAATGACTTCAGTCCGAAGGGATGTTTTTGTGTTTATTCCAATCATCAGACCTTAGAATACGTGAGACAGAGCTTAGAGAAGACATTATTATCAGATCTCGAACAAGAGGACGGCCTCCCATTTCACGGCCTTCCCATTGTTATCTTATTTGCTGCCAATTCTAACATTAATGAAAAGGATTTAGTGTTTCTGAGAGAAGAAGGACAGAACCGGGCGAAGAGCCTTCAGTGTCCCTTCTTAGACGTGACTAACTTCGACAGTCATTCTTCTGGTCAACGGTTTGACACCCAATGCTTGAGTCAAGCCCTCCGAGCGCTCATCGAAAGTATTCAGAGGCGCGCAGATCTGATGCAAATCTATCAGTCAGTATTGCCGGAACAGGCGCTCAACCCCGACATCCGAATCCTGGTCTGCATGTTATGCGGCGACCCCTTTACCATCGAACAAGTGATGAGCCCTTTCCTCACTCACAACATGTATTACGTGACCTCTTCTCACTCCATCACAATTGAACTCATGATCGGAGAGACGAAACGATTTGTGGAACTGGTGTCCACTTCATACCACGGGGCGCACAACTATCGCGACGAACTCCTCCACGGCTTTCTCCTCTTCTACTCGTGCGGACGGAAGGCATCGTTGGCCACATTGACTGCATTCTCGGCAAACATTCCCAATACTCCCATTCAGATGATAGCCTTTAGCGACACTTCTAACTCTAATATCTATTACTCGAACCACGACTTGGATCTCCAACTGCTCTCCGAAGGCAATACTCTCGCAGACAAACTCGAAGCACATTTCATCACATCTTCGCCGACACAACAAAAGAATTTATATTTCATTCCATTTCTCGAAGAAGTCATGGAAAGGAAGCCTCAAATTGAGAAGGCATTCGAAATGGAAGACTCAGACTATTCATTGGAAAGGCGAACGCCTGTACCTCCACCCGTTCCTTCACGACAAGAGTCATACCATATTAGGAGCGGTTCTGCCGATTCCGATGGCATTTATGAGCATTTGGGTGACAAGTCGACGGATAACGGAACAGAACTCATATCGAGCAGTGGTTTTGTTGACGGCCAACATCTTAGTCCCAGTGATGACAGCGAAGTCTACGCCAGTGTTTATAACCAGGAAAATGGTGAACAACTCGTTAAGCCGAGTCAGATCAAGAATAGACGCAGTCTTCAAGCGGGTATGTCTTCGCCTGTCGTTTAAAAGTTTTTTTTGGGATCCTTTTGTGTCACTTCTGTCGCCCATATTTTTCCGTACTTTAAATCTTTTGCTTTGCTTTTTGTCTACTTTTTCCAAATCAGATCTCTATCGACAATCTTTTCCAAGTACTGAATCTCTAGACCGGGACAGACCTCTGTCCAGTCGTCGCGGAGACCACTCTTCTCAACCTCCTCTCCCTATCCCTCCCCGACGAGGAGAGCTCTCTTACGCTCCGCCTCCGTATACCCGCGCTGTCTCTCCTCCGCCATCATATATAAGCCATTTCTCGCCGCGACTTCCGTCACATCACAAGCCATTAAAGGCGTCGTCCGATGAGACGAAGGCTGTCCCGCATTCCTCTTCACTCTATGGCACAGACAGGCGTCGAATCGCCGCTTATTCTGACATTAAGTCCTTCACTCCATTTCAATATCACTTTCATATAAAGAAGTCCAATAGTCTTAAAGCCTCGGTTTTGGGTAACACTCTGTCCGGCGTTAGTCTTAGTTCTCATTCCTCTCGATTGCCTGAAGACTTAGACAATGCATCAGATGATGTATCCGATGAAGACGACGACACCGTCTCTTCAGGCCTTAGTGGTAGTGGTATTCACTGTCCATCTCTTGTCCCACTTGTCTCTCATTCTTTCATTTCATTGTTTTCCAAAGGATATGGTGCTTATCCACCGCCTCCAGAACCGGCACCGCCTGACTATCAGTACTCTCGTCTTAAAAAGACTCCCTCTTTGCCTTCTTCTGGCCGATTGCCGGCTCAGCATACTTTCAATGAGGGTATTGTCTCTATCTTTTACTTTCTTTCATATCTATTTCCCTCTCAATCTCATTATATCTGTTTAACCCTTGTATTTGTTATTAAACTTTAAATTGCGGTATCTTTTTACACAACTTTCAAAACTAATTATAAGATAAGGAAAATATAATGTATGTTTTCCGCATAAAACAATAACAATTGTCTCTATATTTTAATGCTCACGACATACTATTCTTTGCATTTCCCTTAATATCTCTACTGAAGTATGTTTGAAGTGCTGCTTCATTCAATTATGAGACCAAAACCATTCAGAAAAGAGTTTTAATTTAATTGCTTTTAAATCCAATGGTGTTATGTTAATCATTAAAAACCAATATTCTCTCTATTTTTGATAGTTGTTGTTGCCTGCTTGAAAGTATTATATTGCTGTATATATTTTCATTTCATTGATAATAGCTAAACTATCTTATTTAGTATGATAATTGCATGAATTTTAATATTTACTACTGTATAATTATAGCTTTTATACTGTATTTCCCCCAATTTTATGCTTGATTATTAATATTAAGCAATACAGTATTATGTCTTTTATGTGAATAATTTATTAGTATTCTTTTATTCACTTTTATTGCATTTGTAAAATGTTAAATTAGATGTAATTTAGAATTATGTTTATGTAATATATTTAATGTGATGCTCACTATGTCGTGAAGTGGTGTATCTCTCTATACTGTAAGACTATCTCTGTCTCATCCCTTTCTTAATATAATATAGTTTCTCCGCTATATATTGTTGCCGGGGTGAAGGGCTATTCTGTAGAAAGTGAGTACTTTTCCTAATAAACCATTAGATTCTCCGATTATTTCCATTTTCCACTTTCGCTGCAAATCAGTCTTAAGTTAATGTTTGTTTTAATTGCGGCAAACCTTGCATTTAAATGTTCACTTATATTATGTGAATTAATGTCTGAGACATGTCAACCACTCATTTAAATGACAATCTATTCAATGAACTCTCATATAATTTGTGATTATATTGTTCGAGACATCCCTTAATTGATTGTAACAAAGAATATGCTTAATATGTATTTGTATGTGATTTGAATGACACTCTCTAATCGATTTATGATTGTATTGATCCATAGGTTGGATGGAAAGGGATAATAGGGTTTATGACAGAGGAAATGAGGAATGGCTCGACAATGATGTATATCATGCTTATCAGAGTCATCACAAATTGCCCCCACCTATCAAACCAAAGGTTATTATGAATATTGAATTTGTCTTTTTATATCGACTTTTTCAAAGAGTAAAAGTCATGGAACTAATCGATTATCTCATGAACAGCCGGGAAAATTGAATTTAAAACAATTCGATAACATTACTGATGCCATCGGACGCCTCAATGTGGGACCCCGACAGGGCTCGACTCTGCCCAAAATGGGACTCGTCAACGCACCCCTGGCCACACCGGAGTCCATGGATCTGCCCGTCGATTACGCTAAGGTTTGTCTCGTGGATTTCTCCTCAATTGTGGTCTAATCGCAAGATTTGAATTCTCTTAGGACTCTATTTATGGCCGCAATTCTCAAGACTATTACTCAATACTACAGAATACTATAAGTGATGGCAAACATCGCGTTCGTCTCAATAGACGTAATAAGGATTCACTGGAAAAAGGTATTGAATTGTTATTTCTGTTGCAGACTATAGTTATATAATAATAGCTGTAATCTCTATTTCTAATGAACTTATTGATTGATAATTGAATTAAACAATAGTTGGTTCAGATTCTGATAGTGATTGGAGTTCTCTCGAGCGCCGGGAGAGAGACCCTTATAGTAGAGCTAATCGAAAGCCTACTCCACATAAGAAAGTTCGTAAAAAGCGAGGCATTCCTGTCGCTCCGCCACGTCTGCCTTCATTTGAAGGCAATTCCAATAACTTTAGTAACCAAGCGGTCAAATGTGTTAATAATGTCCCAACACTTGCTGGCGATTCGCCGGTAGATGTGTTCGAGTCGTCAGGTATTAATAGTTTTGATTTGAATAAGTCGTGTATTGAGGCCAACGCTCCTTCACATCCATCACTCTCTTTGTCCTTTGCTTGTGCTGCTGACCCGTGCGCTAAAGGGAGGGCTAATACGCCATCAGATGGAAGCGAGTCCAACGAAGACAATGAACCGGTCGATGAGAGCCAACAGATTATGTCTAAGTCGAGACCGAAGCGGTCCTTCCATTTACGCCGTCGCGTCAAACCTCCGACACAGTCTCACTCTATACCGGAAACAAATTATGGCGAATCCAACAGTCCTCCCATCAGTTCTATTGAGTCCAATCATAATAATATCAGTCCATTCACTGTAGACCACTCACGTAAGTCACTATTGATTGGCACCTCTGTGTAACAACTCATCGACTGATCCGTTGTTTTGTCACCATTTCTGCTATGATTTAACATTTAATTTGATTAAAACATTAATTTTGGTTTCCGTTATAATTTTAATTTGATTTGAATTATGAAAGCTATTAATCGCTGAAAGCCTTGCCTATGATTTTGATTAATTGATTGTGTTTTCATTTTACATTATTAATTGATTTGATTTATTAATACTTATTAATACAGCAATTATTTTTATTAATTTTTGTTCACATTATTTTAACGTTAATGTTATTAATGTTGAAAATTAAATCATAAACGAAAACTAACTTAACTTATTGTTCATTGGGTTTACAGCCAAACATAAGAACGACTCGTTGTCGTGCATCCAAGCGGCTCAGGAGGAAGATTACGACCCAAGAGATGCCACAATCGTTCAGTTGGGAAAGGTTTTGAAGAGTAAGTCGGCGACAGTTATCACCGAAAACAACGATAATAAGGGATCGAAGAAAGAGAAGGACAGGAAGAAGGCTCGCGAAGACGAGAAACTCGAGAAGCGAAGGCTTAAAGAAGAGGAACGGCTTAAGAGAATGACTGAAAAGAAGAAAAAGAAACAAAAGAATAGTTCAGCGAATAACGGACCAACTCTTGAGGACTTTGTCCAATCGGAAGACAAAGCCGTTCCTCTATTTGTTGAAATGTGTATTCAATTCATCGAAGAAGAAGGTCTTGACTCAGAGGGCATATACCGAGTGCCTGGAAATAGGGCTCACGTCGACCTACTGTTCCAGAAGTTTGAAGAGGGTATGCCATCATTAGTGCCACTCATTCCTTGATTCACGAGTTAATATGAATTTCAAATACAGACCCGAATGTGTCGATCCGAGAGTTAGACATACCGGTGAACGCTGTGGCCACTGCTCTCAAAGACTTCTTCTCCAAACGTTTGCCTCCACTCATACCGTCAACAATGATGGATGAGTTGACTGAACTGTGCGCTTATGGCGAGAAAAGTAGTCGTTTGAATTCATTTAAAGAATTCCTCAAAAGCCTTCCATTTGTTAACTTCGAAGTCATTAAGTTTGTGTTCAAACATTTCGTTAAGTAAGTCACACATACTGTACCTTCTCTTGCATAGCATTACACTCATACTAACCAAACACTGATATGTTTGTCAACTCAATAGAGTGACCGATAATTGCCGACTCAATAGTATGGACAGCAAGAACTTAGCGATCTGTTGGTGGCCAACACTCCTTCCCTTTGAGGTATATATTTATTTCAGACATTTATGGCCACATTATTGAAAACAGTATTTCAATTGTGATTTGACCCAAAATTGGTTATAATTGATTGATAATTTGTATTTTTGTTGAACAGTTCAACGATATGCTAGTATTTGAACAAATGAGACCTCATTTGGAAGACTTTGTGCAGACAATGATAGATGAGTTCCAGTTCTTGTTCAGCGCCGAAGAATTGCTGGTCGTCTGAATAGCCACTCATTGGACACAATAAGCAATTATATGACTGTATTGCCAACAGTTGATTCAGTGACCATAAGTGCAGTCAGACTATCAAAAGTTAGCCCATTTATGCCAAAAAACAAATTCTGGTCATATCGTGCATACAATAACACTTTTCTCAAACTTTCAAATACTTTCAATACTTTTGAGACAATAATTAATTTTGTAATCGAAAAGAAATATTTAATGTAATATTGAATGAAATATTGTCATCGCTTTTTTTGAAGGGAACTAACCATAACATAAATTAACTTTTATAATTTACTTGCTATTTAGTGACTGAAAACAAATGAATTTTAGTATTTTTTGAGTTTAATAGCAGTGCAGCTAATCATCGTTAGAGTCAATGCCAAAGCATATCAGATATACTGTAGTAAAAGAAATTCCCTTTTCATTCATCTGATGATCGCTTTTATCATGAAATCAGTTATTGTTTCAATCATTTGTATGGATAACCAAAGAGTGGACTCTAAAAGCCTTTTAAATCACAATTTAGACTAAATTTTAATTTTTTGAACAAATGGTCAAATGTTGAATAGTTTGTGCCAAAAGTATATTTAAATGAAATAATATATTTTGCGGAAATGATTATTTTGGCCACTCTTTAGAATTTGTCCAAAACAGCGAAATATATACTAAAATGAGATCTCATTTAAGCTTTTCGTCGATAAACAAGATCTGAATTTTACAACAAAAAGTCTTTTCGATTGAATCACTCTTTGGTTCCAACCACAGACCACTTTTCACTAAATTTGTCCCCTTTTTAAGCCACACTTTGAATGTGTTTTGAGAGCACAAGATTGGCATCACATCTATTGTTCACTTATTTCTTACTGACCGCCGCTTCTTCTATGAGATTTGATTTTCACTTTTTATAATTTATTTACATTTTATACAAATGTTTTGTTCATTTCACATGTTTTTTAATTACAATTTTAGTTATAATTATTATGATTTGAATTATCAATGATTCTGTGATTAACTGATATAAGCAGTGGTGAGTCAACACATGGCTGTCCCGTAGGCCACCGTCGATGACGGCACTGACCGCATATGACTCACTGGTCGGTCACATGTCGTGATGGCCTGCGGGGGTGTCATGTGTTGGACACGACTCCATATAATCATGAAATAGGACTCAATTGTATCGCAAGTGATGTGGAGTTTAGTTAAGCGGCGGTTAAAGTATAGCTATTAATATATTTGAGTTTTGTTTCATTTGATTGTGATATACAAGTCGTATATTATATTTAATTATCATGTTTTGACCACTTCTTGGACTTCTGGAGATAATGTACACAAAGACTAATGAACTGTAAATCAATCTAAACATTAGATTCATATTGCATAGCATTTAATTAACAAATAGATGATTATAAAAGTAATAATATTGTATACATTTGTCACACGATTGGCACCAAATCCATGATCACCCGGACCATTGCGCCGACACCACAATCCCAGTCATTGTCACCGCAACTGATCCGCGCGTTCATACAAATTGTAAATTATTTATAAGACATATTCAATGATCACTTATAATAATAATAATAATTAACTGTAAGTTACATCACGTTTGGTGCTTACATGCCGTTCATTACAGTCTATAGACTTAACACTCAATTGTAATCATTATTTAATAACAACTCTATTATTGTATTCATTAATCATTTGTACAGAAATTCAGCTAAAATTCAATTAAATTATTATTGTTTTCATAAATGTTTGCATTTTATTCACGAGTATTGCATTCAAAGTGAGCGCCAAATGAGTGAATGAGTGCCACAGTTGTGTCATATGTGGTCATATTGCCGTCAGTGTCAGTGTCACAGTTCACTCCACTTACTGTACTTTTAACGGTATTTCACAGTCAGTGTCAGTGTTGCCAACACTTGCCGACAGTCCCATTGAACAGTCACTCTCTCACACACAGGCAGCCAATGAGAGGCCGCCAAACGAAATGCATTTGCAATGGAATGACAAACACATTGGACTCTCGCTCTCATATTACAGTTAAATGACTGTACTTTTAAAGCAGACCTTTAGGCACAGAATTTCATCATTTTTTAATGCCAACAAACGGTTGCCTTTTGTTTAGACGATTAGCACTGACTGTGACTGCAAATCGTCTACTGCAGCCCTGCTCAAGAGTGTCTGTGGGTTAGCACACAATTGGCGCTCAAACACAGCGAGACTTTGATTACTGTTATACTGAACCACACGAGCAGTCGCTTAGTGTTAGTGCGAGAGTGAGAGACAAAGCATTGAAAGCATTAGTCGGACGGCAAACCAATTGCTGACAATTGAGTTGAATTGCAGTTTAGTTTGCATTCATATTATCAGTAGATTTGCAAGAAATGGCCGACGATTGGGGCGATGACTGGGGAACGGGAGGCACAGCCAGTGCCGCACCAAAAGCCGTGAGCGATGACCACTGTTTGGTGATGTCTTCGCCGGTCACTCACTGTCTGTTGTCTGCACTCTTAGGCGGCGACAGCGATGGACGACGACTGGGGGGACTCCGGGGGCACGACTGCCACCAGCAATGGCTACTCGGGAGGCGGTGGTCGTGGAGGAGGCGGTGGTGGGCGAGGAGGCGGCGGAGGCAACAGTTGCTTCAATTGCGGCGAAAGCGGTCACATGAGCCGCGAGT